CCATTGAACTAGCAAATGACACCCAGTGAGTCCAACTCCCCCCCCCCCCCCAACACACCAGACTCTTATCACTCAGAATATATATATAGGATCAATGCAACACCATTCTATGTTGTGAATCTAATAAACTTTCTATCCCTCGTAGATACGGATTGGGTGCAGCAGTTTTGTCTAAAGATGTTGCCAGATGCGAACGCCTAACAAAGGTATGAGCTTTTTATGCTAGAGGAAACAAACCATAGTTGTGTTGTCAGTGAAAATAAGCATAATAGATACTCTTCTGATGAAATAAATATGCAGGCTTTTCAGTCAGGCATAGTTTGGGTGAACTGTTCACAGCCATGTTTTTGGCAACCCCCTTGGGGAGGAAAGAAGCGTAGTGGTTTTGGTCGTGAACTAGGCGAATGGTAATGTGAATCTTATCCCTTTTACCTGCATTTATCATCTCTGCAGTCCTTTAGCTGCATTTAACTATCAATAGGCGTTTATATTATTTTATATATTTACAAAAAAAATCATGAGATATCAGAAAAGGTACTGCAAAAATATTTTGTAGAATGAACCACTGATATCTTGTGACAAATATTTGCAAATATATAATACTACTGTCCCCAAAAAAAAGTCCCGTTTTTCTATTTTCAGGTGTCACAAATTAAAAGTTTAATTTCCCTTTGAGGCATTAACATTTACATAAATTCCAATTTGAACCTTCTTCCTAATTGAATTTCTACAAATTTACCTGCCATCTGTTCCTAGGGAAGTTAAAAAGAACGGGTAGTATAGAAATTTTAACAAACTTTCTGCTCATAAAGTTTGGGACTTTCATTTTGGGACGGATGGAAAACATACTATTATACTCTGTATTATTGCTATTTATGTTCTTTGCAATTCTGCCGATTGCATAAGTCAGAGGGATTCTATTACTGTATGACTGCATTGATTGGAGTATATCATTTGCAACCCTTGAAATAAGTGGAAACTAAATAAAGTGTTAGGAAGAATAGAGAACTGACATATGTACAGGTTGAAGAGCCAAAGTTAGCATCATTTGGTCTTTTCATGTGCAGGGGATTAGAAAACTACTTGAATATCAAGCAAGTTACGCAATATGTATCAGACGAGCCTTGGGGTTTTTACAAGTCTCCTTCAAAGCTGTAAAAAGAGTGGGTGTATTGTGTTCCATTTATGCGTTTGTTATTGCTTTAGAAGGATCATATCCAATTCTAAAACTCGTGTTGAGGCTCCATTTACCAAATATGTAAGGTTGGGTACACATCCTTTAATATTTGGAACATGAAGTGGGAATACAAGTTTTAGAACTTGATATGCACTTTCTGAAGAGATACAAAAGGCATAATATGGCTCGACTTTGCAGCTTATACAAGAGAAGACAACAAACGCGGACGCGTTTGTTGTGTTGTTGTACCTACTACCTAGTACTGTAGTAGTATCTGCTTCTTTAATAATGCAATATGCCTATTTGTGAAATGATATTCAGAAGTGAATTTGTCTTTCAAGTTGATGTAAACCAACGTTGAATGGGGGACATTCCTAACCGTGATTAGTATTTATGTTTGTTTTTTTTTAAATGTCATTTTTTCTGACAAATATTTGTTCACGTTCTCCTATCAGTTCAGTATCATTTGGTTCATACAAATAAATCTGTCTATTTGAAAGCAAAACTATCTTTCGTTTTACTAATTAATTGTTTTGATCTAAATATCTTTTGTCAACAAACTTCTAAGAAATGTTTTGCCAGCTAATGGAATACCAGCATGTCCCATTTACTCCTTTTTGGGATGTCCCATTTACTCCCTTATGTTTCTTTTTTGGCCAACTTATTATACATGAATTGCCATAACTACCCGTCACTATCCTAACTAGGGGTGGTTCGGTACGGTATACCTTATATTTTTTCTCATACCTTTGCTGTACCAAAACTTTCGGTATGCAAAATTTGCTTACCTTTACCTTATTGTAGTGTCGGTATACCGCATTTCGGTATACCAAAGTTTCGGTTCGGTAATGGTACGGTATCAGTAAATTATATAACCGTGCATGTCTCCCAATACAAAAAGTTAGCAGACTAACGAAATATACTAAATCGTTATTACTAGCGACATATTAAATCTATTATTAAAATGTTACGAAATACAATTAATAATCTATTGATGTCAATTCAATATTGAACAATAATTATTATTAGTATATTTAAGCAGTTCAACATGCCACATATTAAAAAGTAACATGTTCTCCTAATATAACTTGAACAATAAATATATATACTACCTCCATCCCAGGGAGAAGTTCCCAATTTCCTTTTTTGGCAGTCCCAACAAAAAGTTCCCATTTCCTTAAATTGAAAGTTATCCTACATAAAAACTGTGCAAAACAGTGCCAAACAGTGTCGAAACAGTGCCAAACAGTGTCGAAACAATGCCAAACAGTAAAATTTAGCCCTCTGTAACTTTATTTCCTTAATATGTGTGAAAGTCAACCCGGGAACTTCTCCCTGGGACGGAGGAAGTATAATTAAATCAATAGTGATCTCTAACAAAAATAAATAAAACTATTCAAATAACATGGATATTAAATTATTTATTCCTAATATGATATTGTGTATTTAGTCATTTTTATATTTTTTAAAAATTGAATAAGACTTTCGGACAAAGTTGTGTGTCTCGACTCGCAGAATCCCTATGTAGATACACTTGTCATATAAGTGTATCTCTTTTCACTCGTCAACTACTTAGCGGCCCAGTCATCACAACTTGCAAGCTCTTGGAACAAGATAGACTTGTTTCTTGACATTTGTACATTACTCATTAGTCATTAAGATTAGCGTAGTGGAAGCCTATAAGGTTATAATGAGTTTGAGAAATTGGGCCTTTATTTGTGTTTTTTTGTATTTGTAACCAACTTAAGTATTAATTTTGGGCTTCAAAATTGTAATGAATTTTTAGAATATATTAGAATTAAAAGTAATTGTTGAGTAGGGAGTCGGTACGGTATTATACCGGTATACCGCGGTATTTGAAAATATTTACCGTTACCGTACCAAAATAGATCGATACGGTATGATACCGTACCAAAAATGACGGTATACCAATATTTCGGTATTTTCTGGTATTTTCAGTACGGTAAGTGCGGTATACCGATTTTTCGGTATTTTTGCCCACCCCTAATCCTACCCATCCATATTTTACATTTATGGCCAACATTGATGCACTCACTATCTCAGGACTTATTTCCAGGTCCATAGCTACGACTAGAGTTTGAATCGAAGGATTCTGCTTCAGAATTATATTTATGATGTGTCTCTCAACTACATCCATAAGATGTGTCAGTTTATCCTTGCCCGGAGTTAAAGCCTTCATCTGCTTGGAGATAGAAGCAGGCGTTAATGGTGTTGCCGCCGCCAAGAACGTGGCCGCAAGCGTTCAGGACGCCTTCTTCGGAGTTGAAGGCTTGGACAGGGGAATCGAAGGCATCGAGCTCTACAAAGGCTGTTAGATTCCTTTCTTAAGTCATCAAATCTGGATTTTCATAGGGAATCCAAAAATTTGAATCACCCCTTTGTAGCTTGTTTGCCTAATGGGAATTTGCGTGTCGATTGCAGCTTCACTCTTGTACTCTTACTCTCTTGGATATGAAGTACAGTCTAGTTGTGCAGAGGGATGAAGATGGGGAGGTTCTTGGTTCAACAGAAACAAGAAAGGTGAAGGTGGGGATAAACAGTGGAAGTATAATCGGTAAGGGCAAAGGGCATAAATGATATTTGCTCTTCAATTAATGGATCTCCTAAAATACCGTTTCAAAAGTAAACGTAAAGATGTATCCGAGATGGAGGGACTAAGGGAGTACTACGCATTTATCTTTTCGTTTGATTCCATTTGACCGTCAATTTTAATGTCTAAAATATCCTCAATTGAAAGTCAAAACGCTTCTTGCGATAATCTAAGTCAGATGGACTTCAACCAAATCGGAAACCGAGCCTGTAAATTTAGTGGTTGACCGGTTCAGCAGTCTCAGACAGGTCGTAACTCCACTAACTCATAACCTGAAGTGGACTGATTGGTCCAATCCCGATTCACTCACTTTATTTTGCATTCAAGCATTAGAAATATTTTAAAACAAGTGTAAATCTATTTAAAAATTAAAATAGAGCAGGAGGGTCAGGAGAATAAAAACATACTCATAAAAAATTAAGAGAAACTATATTGGATCAGGATTAGTTAGGGGGCTGGGATAGTGGTGGACTGAACCGGGCCAATTCGGGCCTCGGGCCTAGGCCCGGCCGGGCCTCGGTTCAGTAATAGCAGGCCTGAGCCCGAACCGGGGTAGGGCGGTCCCGGGTCCGGTTCCGGGCCGGACCGGGCCAGGCCGGTTCGGGCCACCCGGTTTAAATTTTTTTTTTTTCCTTTCTTCCCCCCCACCCCCCAAACCGGCCTAAACAGATAGCCCAAGCCCAACAGCCCAAAAAAAATGAAAAAAATTAAAAAAAAATAGATTTGGCCCGAACCCGGGCCCAAACCGGCCGGGCCGGGCCGTCAAACCCATGAACCAAGCCCGGAACCGCCCCACCCCCGGGCCGGTCCGGGCCCGCACAGTAGCGGGTCGGGCCGGTCCCGAGCCGGGCGGCCCGAACCGAGGCCATGCCTAGGCTGGGATCGCCCCGGAACTAGGATATTCAGCATCAGTTTTGATTCAACATACCTAAACTCTCATGATCGGCAATCCGAGACTGGAAACGGACCGGTAAATGGACTGGACCGTTGCAAGTTCACAACTAATACATCACTCATTTGTCTTTACTGCTCTCAAATACTACCTCCCTCCTATATTGGTTGTCCACTTTCAATTTGGCACGGTTATTAATAAAGTGGTTAAAAAGTAAAAGTTGTGATTGAGATTTGAATAAAATAAAATAAAATGATAAAGATCACATATTTCTTGCCAAAAAAAAACAAGACATTCATTTTGGGACAACCAAAAAAGAAAAATAGGACAATCAAAATGGAACGAAGGAAGTAAATTGCTTACGTGAGTTGCATATATGATGAAATAACGAGCATCAACCATAAACAAGAAATGTTCACTTTTTCAAAGGAGATTTTATAGTCCTTATTGTTTCACCCTTAAGAGTGATGTTAGGTGTTCAATTCAATTGACCTCTATCTAATGAATTGGCCTAAATGTATCTGTGAAACATTTTAAAATAAATCTTGAGCTTAATCAATTTTACTAAGCCTAATTGGAGCTAAATAAACTACGAGTCTACAACAGATAAACTTATAAAAGTGAAGTCGCACGAAAATCAATGTTAAAAATAAGTAATTTTTTGAAAACACAATTTTGAACTAGTAATTGATAAGGGTGGACCTCAGCCCTTCCTAATCCCCCACCCTACCCAAGACAAGAACAAATTTTTGAGTAAGATCAATATTTGGTCCCAATCCTTTCCAATGCCATTGTTGTACCCATTAAAAAATCAATAAACTAGGAACTGTAGCAGTCTGGTCTCATTTAGGAGTCAGAACAGTGCCCGAGTTTAGCCGGTTATGCATACCGATTCCAATATAGTTCAAATTGATCTAGTTCTAGTCTGAGGAATTTCCCACAGTTAAAATACAGTCCACCCTAATAATTATGACATTGGTTCAGGAGGGGTAAGGGTGAGTTTTTTTTATTTTAAGCATTAATAAAAGATAAACATTTCCGGACAAAATTTTGTCTATAGGGCTCAACATAGTAATTATTCTAAAGCAATCTTCTATCTGTAAAGGGGGCTCAACAAGTTGATACAATGACAATATGCATTCAATACCGATCAGGCCATCATCATTTGTACGGGAACTGTTATTGTCTCTTCCGTTCCACCCAAAACAACAAGGTGTGTCAGCACTTGGCATCATAGCATGTAACTAAGATAGCACATTGATAGGATTCTTCCTGGCAACTTCAGAATACCAAGAGCTCCATGCTTCCATGTAATGAGAAAACAGATCTCTTACATCTGTGTAAAATCAAACAAAGTAGAAATTCCATTACCAGAGTGCTTCCATACCTATAAAAGAGGAACTAAGATTCATGAAAATGTTGAAATATGTTTGTATATGTGTCACCTTGGTTTTGATATTCTGGGCGATAAGTCGATCCTAAACTTTCACAGGCACTAATTATTTTGGATCTTTGGCTACTTTCCTGATCTTCAACTTTGGGCATAGTTGCAGTAGGAGAAAAGGGACCAAAGTGATAGCTCTTATAAGCACTTGTTCTTGAACCAGTATCCAAATTGGCCACACAATCCACATTCTCACTTTTGATTTGGGATAGCAGCTTTGTCTCTGTTACGCCGCCACCACTACTATCCATTGAGGGAAGAAGAAACGATTTGCTTCTCTTAGTGGGAGGAATATTAGTGATATCAGCGCCAAACACCCTTTTACTGGATTGATGATAATCACAAACCAAATCATGGTCTGACATGTGAGCTGATACATTTTCTGGTTCGCCTTTCAACCCCAGCCATCTAAAAGCAGGCTTTCTTGTTTCCGGGTGTTGAGTCTACTCATCAAGGAACAGTTACACAAATGAGCATTTTGCTCCGTAAGAATGGATGATTAATATATGTAAGCCAAACTATATGGATTATTGATTAATTACCTTCTCAATGAATTTCATTGCGGAAAGAACGTTCGCAATGTCATACAGTCTTCTAACTTTGTCTGCAAAAAAGTACGGCTACTGTGAGATATAACGACATCTTAATCAACAACCATCATTGAAAGAGAAGTCTAGATTTCTGGGGGGAAGCGAAAAAGGAGATTTCAATACTTTTTGTCATTGATGGAGACCTTCCATCCCCCAGCAATAACTTTGCAGCCTCCTCCAGACAAATTGTTTCCATCTAAAGAAAGAGCAATAAACACAACATGAGGGTTGAGATCTAAGAGAAGGAAGAAAATGAAAGGTTTGTGAATTTAAAATTGTTAAACTCACATTAGTGCAGAGAAAAAGTTTGATGAAATTCTTCGTGAGAAGCCCCAAAGATTTCTCCTTTCTATTATCTGTCAAAGGTGGTATCACATACATAGCATAAGGGAAACAAGATGCAAAGCTAAATGAACAATTTGGTCCAGGGTTGATGGGCAACTGAAATTCAAAATACCAAGCCTGGCAGCCAATGTGAGTTCTGATTTTTCACCCTGACTTGTAGCACAGTGTTGAGATTGTTGCACAACATCATCTTCATTGTCTGTAACCTGGTAGCATGAAATTCCACCCTGACTAGGACAGTTTTTAGGTTCATGCATGACATCATCTTTATTCTCTGTAACCTGATAGCAGGAAATGTGACATACATCTCAGTGATGGAAATAGCTTTGCACATAATATAACCAATAATCAAGCCCTTGAAGAACTCACTTGAGGTGTGAAATTTCTATCAACTGCAAAAAAACTCTCTCTTAGGCCATCTTCCTGTTCCATTGTTGAAATTATTAAAAAACTGAAGTGAAATAAAGAAATCAACACTTTAATTTCAAGCAGCAAACAAACAATGAGAAATAACACCAATACCTTCAGCTCCTGGAGAGCTCTTGGGACAACAACAAATCCTTTCCATGTATATCTATTCTTAGCCTTTCTCGCAAGAACCTGAACCAGCCCAGTAAACAAATACAAAATATTCATCCAAATCCATAGATATAAAATGAGATCTGTCCAAATCAAAGGATCTTACACCAACACTTTCCAAAACATTCACAATATCATATATCCGCCTTCTCTCAACCCCTAGCTGCGTTGCCGCATCATCCAGCCCAATAGTTTCAACGCCCTCTCGGTTGTATAAGCTCAAAAAACTGCATAAATTCACATTACTCGTTAATCAGACACTCTCAAGCACAAACAATGCATTACTCATACAGAACTGATCGACATTCAGAAGGACAGAAAGAGAGAATACTTGGAACAGAGTAGACCGAGAGATTTCTGTTTGCGGGAGTAAGCCGGCCCAGATTCCCTTAAGGCCATCTCGGGATGGAGTCCTATTCCTCTGAGTTGAAATTACGCTTGTGTAATAAAAGTTTGGAAATGGAAATGAAGAAAGGGGTGAAAGATGCGGCGGAGAGAGGGGCGGCGGGGCCGTTAAGAAGAAGGGCAGAAGGGTTAGTTGGTTAGCAATGGCGGGCTGAGGAAGATTTTCTTTTTTATTTTTCAAAGTTTCGAATTCGTTTATCGCTTGAAGCGGGAATACGAATCCGTTTTTCTCTCACTTTCAGACTTCATTCGCTTGGCCGCGCATCTTTACTTGCATTTACGTTTTTGTCCTCTTCTTTTTTTTCTTTTTTTCCGTTCCATTGAACTTTGTTTTTTCATCGCCAATTTCAACTTTTATATTAAAAATCATTAGGAATCGGATCGTTACAACAAACTCCAATATATCAAACCTGACATCAATTATCCCTAACCAACTAGAATAATCAACCATACGGCTTACTCTGAGACGATCATCCATGAAAGAGCAATATGAATCGCTAACCACCAAACGGGTGCGACACAGCGATCACTGGTCATATAGATCCTTTTAACGACATAATATCTAGCAGAATTGACAATCATTATTGTAGACCTAAAACTAAAATCATCAACAAAAAACGACACCGTAAACAAACATAACACGAAAATAAGACCATAAAAATAAAATAACTGACAAATACTTCAAACTCCATCTTGGATGGTTTCTTGAAATATCATCTTCCAAACTCTGGCATCTCGATCGATCCAAGGCGGCGGTTCAGGAGGGGGACGAACCGTTGATCTGTATTCTCCCTTGCTGAGCCCTTCATCGCTCACCATCTGTTCATCACCCGGGCCGTGGGCCAGAACCAAATCTGTCAACCCCTGAGCCGTGGCTAGATTGCCAATACCTCTGCAATTCTAATCCAGCACATTCATGTCACTGCCAAATGAAACAAAACGCACTTCTGCCAGATCAATTCAAACCAAAAGTTGGTAGGAAACCTCTGCCGACCAATCCAAACCGAACACTGAATTAATCCAACAAAAAACTAGAAGAAAACTCCGTCAGACCAAGTCAAAACAGTCGTCGGAACACGACCTGGGATATACCTAGACAATGACCGCCGATTATATCCCTACTGGAGAACAGAATGGGACCTTTGCTAATGACGACGAGGCCATGGATACGAAATGGCAAGTATCGACCAAGACTGGAGCGGAGGTAGATTGCGGTGCCGAAGAAGTTTAGGGTTCAATCCATTGAACTTTGTTAACTTTTCTTTTTATCTTAAATAACTTTGTCATTTTTTTAAACAATGAGCTTGCGATTGTGTTCATTTCTCTCTCATCTACACAAATTTCAATTAACAGCTTTTACTATTATAATTTCGATTAAAATGAACTTGACAAAGATGAGTGAGATCGAGTTAGTATATACGGAGCACTGTTCTAAAAATTGGCCTAGGCGGACCGATTAATCGGCCTAGGCGCCCTAGTTGGCCCTAACTGTAGAGGTCTAGTCGGTCAAAAAATCGGCCTAGTCGGCCAAAAAATCGGCCTAGTCGGCCGCCTAGGCGCTAGGCGCCCCTCAAACGCCCGACTAGCGCCTAGTGAGTTTTAGAACAATGATACGGAGTGTATGTTATTTCGTAGTAAGATCCTAATCACATGTGCTCTTGTATACTCGAATTAGGGTGTTTTCTTTTGGACTGTCATTTATTGTTCTGGTTTGATCTGGTTTTGTGTGTGAGGGGATAATGCAGTTATAGATTAGGCACAACTACAATATGATATTTTCCTATTTAGTTATATATGCATACTCTAAAACTGTACAAGAGTAATTTTCTTTTTTGAAAAATAATCTTAAAAATTTACATAACAATTAAAAATGGGTGTATACTTTGAATACCAAGTATGGCTCGTAGTAATCTATCTTCCGGTGCATACGGCGATTCTTTCACCACGTGAGGTGTTCATTTACCTACTAAAACATCCCCCGCCCCCAGCTATTTAGTGATAATCATATGAAACTTTAACAAAATCAGTACTCTTAAAATGGTTAATAACACATATCTAAGCAACTTTACCTAATTCACATTTTTCAACCAACATGTGACCTTTGTATATTTGAATCACTGAATCAGTTTACGATTAATTTGCCAAGACAAAAGATTATGTCTATTTTATAACTATGAAAGTCCGGTATGATCTAAATAAGCATGCACTGATCTAGTCTTGTCTGATCTGATCTGTTTAAGTATCTTTTCCTCCATCACTATTGGGTCGGAGTGCGGAGCGTTTGGAATGGAATGGGAGATTAAATCTCTTTTGAATTAGTTTTAAAACTTTTTTTCTCAAATATTGAAAAGTTTTATGGAAAAGTTATCTTACTTTCTATTGTTAATGTTTTGAAAGCATGAATAAAAATTAAGAATAACTGAAGCATTTTAAAATTTACCGATCTTTGGACCTTTTATTTTTATAGTACTCCTTACTACTATTAAAACAATAGATAAACGAGCTAGAATTTATGTGTAACACCTATTTTATGATTTCGAATTCATTTTTTATTCTCCATATTATGTTTTACTTTCACATTTTCTTGATTCCGAATGCAACATAATGTGTAGGATTTGCAATCTACGTTTAGGTAATCCTAGATTTTGCATCTCATTTTCAGAAAAATTAGTGCGTGCCACTACCCTGGCTCCACCAAGCTAAAATTTGTGAAGTAATGATGTAAAAAAACGCATTTACAGTAAAATGAAGTGCACACATTAACAAAGTCCACATTGATGGCTGAAATGGGTGAAGAGTAAATGGATGATTTAATTAAATATGCTGCTTAAAAGCTTTTAAATAAATAAATATCTAAATAAACTGAAGAAATGCATCTTCGAAGAAATTTAACTCATAAACAAGAAATAACGATTGCCTAAATCAGCTCTAAATAGGAAATAATCTCACTACTTGGCTAAAACAATGTTAAGACAAACCGAATTGCTTTGGGAGTCTTGGGACATGCCTTTTAAGCCTGTACTTGTTCCGTTGAAATGTTGTACCACTTGTAGGCGTTAGAAGGACGCTACACCAAGTTTCACCATGATATTGATGTACGTGGTACTCCCTCCGTCCCGCTATGATTGTCTCATTTTACCATTTCGGTCTATCCCACTAAGATTGTCTCATACCTTATTTCGTAAATTTTGTGTGGTTCTAAATTATTTCTATTTTATTCTTACTTTATCAAATCAATATCAACCACATGAATTCACTTTTATTAATAACCGTGTCACCTTCTCTTGTCCCAAACCAGGGGTGGACCGGGGCCGGTTCGGGCCCGGTTCAGGCCTGGGCCCGGCCGGGCCTCAGGCCAAAAAACTGGGGACCGAGCCCGAACCGCCGGTGGCCGGTTCCGGTTCCGGGCCAAACTGGGTCGGGCCAAACCGGTCCTTTTTTTTGGGGGGGGGGGGGGTCTCCTATTTAACCCCCTACCCCTCCCCCTCAACCCCAAACCACCCCAAACAACCTCAAATGGCCCAAAATACCTAATCCAACCCAAAACTTAAAAAAAAAATCAAAAAAAAAAAAAGAAATTAAAATCCGGCCCGGACCGGGCCCGGACCGATTCACCTAAAGCAGGGCCCGAGCCCGGACCGCCCATCACCCGGACCGGGCCAAACCGAACCGATGGACCAACCGGGCCCCGGGCCGGGCCGGGCCAAACAGTAATCGGGTCGGGCCGGTTCCGGGTCGGGCCGCTCGGCCCGAGTCCACCCCTATCCCAAACTTAAGGGGCAGAGGTACTACTATATGAGTTTCTTCATGTATTAAAAAATGTATTTAGGCTATGTTTTTTTATGAAAGGTATTTAGACTATGTTTGGTATGGTGTAATGCAATGCAATGGAATAAAGTATGTAATACAATAAAAATTGCAATGTAATGGAATGAAATCAATATCCCATTACTATGTTTGGTTAGCAACGGACCAACGGCATAACACTCAAAGAAAAAGTGCATATTTGAAAGAGAAAAGTTGATCCGCTGAGAGAGGGAGCAGCTAGCCGCACGAAAATAAATACAAAAAAGTGTAATCTTAAATACAAAACTTTTCTAATGCAAAGCCTATTACACATTAAAGTAACGGATTCCAGAGCAGTCTTCCGGTCAGGAATTCCTGACCGGAACCGCCGTCCGGACGGCGGCGTTTGGCCGCCTTCCGGGTGGAATTTTTCGATGAAATTTTTATGTAATGTTCTTCATCAAGTCTAGTTTATTCACAAAAAAATTCAGCCAAAAACTCATTCGGGAAGGTCGTCAAATGATTTTTGCAAGTTAACTGGTCCGGAAAATACATATTCCGGACGAGTTTACTTGCACAAATCATTTGACGACCTTCCCGATTGAGTTTTTGGCTGAATTTTTTTGTGGATAAACTAGACTTGATGTAGAACATGCCATAAAAATTTCATCAAAAAATGTCACCGGGAAGGCGGCCAAACGCCACCGTCCGGACGGCGGTTCCTGTCCGGAATTCCTGACATGAATAAAATTCACGGATTCCATATACGTAATGCACGTTACGTTAACATAAAGTGAGTCAAGTGACATACAAAACATTGTATTTGAATCAAATGCTCAGTCCTACCGCCTACGGTATTCTAAGAAATTGGTAGCCTTTTGTGTGAGAGAGTGAGCGATTGGCTGAGTTTTTGGTTTGAACATTCAATAACAAATTGAAAGCAAGCAAAGTAAAAAATTAGGGAGAAAAAAGAAAAGATTGTTTTCCCTATGGTCTAAACTCTACAGACCCCAAGACTGGTAAAGCACATAAAACAATCGCAAGCACGCAAGCACCCTACAGCGTAGGGCTGTGCATTAACCGGGTCGGACCGTATTTTAGACCTGAACCGGACCGGAATGACCCGGTCCGGACCGGACCGGTATTAACCGGTCCGGGTTTCGGTCCTTAGTTTTTCAAGATTCCGGGTTTCCGGTCCGGTCCGGGTCAAACCCGGAAAAAACAGGTCCGGACCGGAATAGACCGGTAATCGATTGTTCCATAAAATATATACTTCGTTTTGAATCATTAGTCAATTTATATTTGGCTTACTACTATGTTTATGGCTTATTTTTGCCTTTTGTTATATAAACGAATATATACGGAGTGTGTATTTGGTGTCTAATTATTTCCTAAGTTGTTTATAATTTTTTTTATGTAGCAGGTCCTAAGTTTTTTATTG